TGCATGGAAAGTAGCAAAAGGCAGATTTTTGGTGTCTTTTTTCTTGCTGTACCACCTTCTGGCAAATTCAATGCAAACTTGCAATTTTGCAGTTTTTTTTTTTTATATGATTTGTATAGTTCAAGTCTTTCAAGTCTCTATAGCTGTTTTGGGTATAATTGCTAGGCATGGTTATATTCCCAAATTCTTATTTGTACTGCAGTGGTACTCCAGGGGGGAACAAAGGAAAGTCCTCAGTTAATAATTACTTTATTTCTTCCCTTCTATTTACAAAAAAAAAAAAAAAAAAAAAAAAAAAAAAAAAAAAAAAAAAAAAAAAAAAAAAGGTTAAAAAAAAGTCAAGCCCCGCAGGCAGTAGGACTTTCAGGATCTCAGCATACAGTGCTGCCTTGTGCAGGGTGAGGACAGCCAGAAACAGGCACTGAGGAGGCACAAACTGCCCCTATTCATCTGAAACCAGGGCTAAATGCTAGCCCTGGTAACCCTTTCATCACCAAGGAGAGACATCAGGAAAAGCAGGCTGACCTACATGCTCTCTGTGCTGCCTTTATCCAAATGGACTTAGCACGCAAACAGGCCTGCATGTTTGAGGAGAAAAGGTCAGGTGTTCTCTCAGGGGTCTTTGTTTTACCTGAGTCACTGACTCCATCCTCAGCAGCAGTGTGGGGATCTGTATTAGATGGAGGATTCAGTGTCCAATCTGCTTTAACCCTGGGAAAGCTAAGAAACCATCACAGAGCTCTGTCTCCAAAGAGAGAAGTCAAGCTTACCCACAACTGAGCAGAATCCTATTCTTTTCTTACATCTTCTTTCTTCCTTGACTGYAGTCAAAAGCCAAAGGCACCTCTTCCTTCCCATGAAGGGAAGATGTCTTAGGGAGGAGTTAATAGTTTAAGAGACCGGCCACCCCTTGAAGCTTTTCAAAAGGAGTGCTACACAAACCTCCCAAAACTAGTTCCAGCTTTAGACAGACTTGTCACCAAACTGTCACCAGTCCCAGGGGGCTGGGTGCAGATGCCTATGGGGGATCCCTGTCCTTTCACCTTTCAGATCCAGCTTCAGCAGAGCTGCCTGCACACAGACATGTCTTGTAGGGCCAACAACTGATGCCAATCCCCAGCTTAATCCTACAAGACTGAAAGTAAGGCTTATGAATGATACATGCTAAATGAAGCCCTCAATGAGAAATAGCTTACYCAGAGGTCACAAAAGCATCTAACAATCTGCAACAGCATTTTTATAGATAAAAGAGACTTCATAGAGAATGAMCATATGAAACAAAGATACCTGAGACAGTTTCTTGCAGAAACCTCCCATGTTTTGGCAGGGAGACACCATTGTTTTCTGTTGTACCATGATTTGCAGGCAGGTAAGCCAGCTTTAAGTCAGAAATACATGTTGCAGTGACAATACTCTGGCCACAGGTCTTGCACAGATTGATGCAGTATTTTTATTTCTGACAGGTTAGAGAAAGACAGACTGCAGCTTCCTTATTTGTAAATACTTTCCATAGGGAGAAGAACTGTTCACCCTTAAGTCTTCCAGTGGATAGATTGTGAAAAATGAATGAGACTTACATGCTCAATTTAAARGAATTGATCATTAGGAAAACAAAAGGATTTTCCTTTGCTCAGGGGAGAGTTAGCAAATGGAATAAGACACTGAAAGGTCTGATAARAACAGTCAGTAGAAATTGCTTCAAAATAGGCAAGGGAAAGAATTTAAGAGAAAACATGAAGTATAACTGCTGACTACAATTACAGGTAGGTTTCTTTCCTAAGCTTGTGTGTTCCTTATACAACACTAAAAACACAAATAGATTCATCTAGCACCCACATGTGTATTACACCAAATTGGAAGCACATTTTCTCTGGTATAAGAGCTAAGAGGTTAAAATCTATTTGTTTAAATATTTGTATTGTCTTCAGTAGGGACTATCACATGCATATCCAGCTGCTATTAGATCATTTTACTCCAGATTGTATGCATTCTTGAGTCCCTAGTGACAATTATGAAATTCAGCTACAAGCTATTTTGAACTTTATGTATCTCCCATCTCTWAAAAAGTTTAGGCTGGTAAGATCATAATTTTTTTTTTTTTTTTAATTTTGTTACCATCCCAGCTTGCAAAGTTTATTCAAATCTTCTCTCTTCAAGATCAAGTTAATAATGACCATGTTTCTAATTGAGTATTTTGGTTTCCTTTCTCAAAGAACAAGGGGCTAAATTCACTGTGGATAAAAAGGAAGATGTCTGATGTAAGCTATTGATGGAATTTCTCTAACTAGACCAAAGAATGAGTGCTTGTGGAATTTTTGCATTTTGTTTAGGAAAAAAAATACTTTGTAATCACAGATAAATAAAGGATAGAATATATATTAAAAAAAAAAGCTTTCTCTTCAGCTAAAAATTACCTACTACCTTGAGTAACAGCTAGCACTTATATTAAATACTCTAAACTGAGAATCCTGCAACTCTGACAGGCCTGATTTCTACTTGAAGAAAAACCCCACTATCACTTTAKCCAGGTTAGCCTACTTTTCAGTAATAAGAAGCTGTGATGTACAGCACAGTGCACAAGGACAGAAACCTTTGACCTCTTCCTTGAAAGAGGCTGGGACATCCAGGCATGTGGATCCTGGCATTCCAGGTAACACTGCACAGGGAATGTGTCACCGGAAGGATCAGAGTACTTACTGTCTTGTCATGTTGAAAATGTCAGGGAGTCTTCACCACAGCTTTTACTGCCTGAAACTCAAWAACTGAGCCAGACAAATTGTATCATAGGGAAAGCAAGTAGCCTGGATTTTAAGGCTAAACRCAGTGACTGACTAAACACAGCTCTTCTCCTGACTGGTGAACCTTCGGCTCTCAACATGAGTCAGTGTTTCTGCAGCAGAGATGCCTGGGTGTCCAGGAGTCTCTCAGTCTGTGTCTTTTTCATTGTTTCTTATTCATTACAAAACATACCCAGCTTTTGAAAATTTGACATCTGCCAAGGATAGTGTTAAATGACTCAAATACAAAGCAGTAGTGAAAAAATACAGTTCCTGAAGATGAGACAGTGCATGTAGCATGCCATTGAGTTTTAGTGATTCCTATCATCTGCTCACATTGACTTTGGTGAGCCTTTCATAGAAAAAGAAAGAAAAAAGTTAAAATTCCTTCTAATCACATTTCTCAGTRATATGAGGAAAGAAGGATTATTTCAGCATGAAGACATAAGAAGTCAGGACAAAGCAGATGCACTTCAAGGTCTCAGTTTGCTTTGCAATCTGGGCAAATCGTTCTCCCCTCTGCAATATTAACAAGCGTGTCTGTTACTACAGCAGTTATGGCCTTTTTGATGGCATGTTGAACCACAAAATTTCAAGTCTCACCTACAAATTAAGCAGAGCAGAGTTTTGAATCTTGCTCTTTCATCCTAGAAATAACAGAACCTAAATTTTTGAATCATCAGAACATGCACGTATACTTGTAAGTATATACAAACATATAGATAACTGTGCTAAACCTGTATCCACTGACAGCCTGTAACCTTAGACGTGCTCTCCATGCACAGACAAGACAGGGCCCAGCTGAGGAGACAGACTAATTTCAGGCAGCTTTTGCCTTCAGTCTTAGTTCCAGCACAATAACAAGGGGATAATTTAAGTGGTTTTGGGGTTCTGTTAGTGCCACCTGGCAAAAAACCCCAGCAGCAGCTCAGCAAAGTTATCTGAGCACATCAACAGCAGTTAGGCACCCACAGGGCAAGTTGCATGTATTTACACTGCRTCTAAGACAATGGCTCACAGACACTAGGAGAGGTTTTGAATGCTCTTGTTGTTTAATGAATCTGGAWAAGCTACTCAGAATTTCAATAGCAATTCACATTTCATAGAATCTAGTTTGCTTCTGAGTGCCATGAGCACAATAGGACAGTCTCACCATGGAGCCGAACATGACACAGTTTCTTATGAAGGGACAACATGCTTTGAAACYTCTGCAGTGTCTTTAGGAGCCATTCCCAGAGCTGCTGGAGCAGCAGCTGTGGAAGCTGACATCACAGTCTCAATGACAGAACAGAAGCTGAGCAAGTCACTGACATCATTTAAGGGCAGGATTTATTTAAGGCTGAATGTAGGAATTTGTCCTGGAAGTGGTAAAATAAGCAATTTCTCCTGAGAAGTATTACTCAATCATTTACCATTTGTATTTTGGTCTACACAACTATATTTTTGATACAGGTTATGAAATGTTTTCAKTGGAGATACTGGAACACATACTAGGGTTTTATGGTTTTTCTCAATAGGGCCAGAGCTGGGACAATTAGTGTTAATGTATTAAAGGCTTACGTACCTGAGAGGTGTAAGATTTTCCTACCTTACCTGATTTTCCATTCCATCACTCTTCTGTATTGATCACCATGCTCTGCAAGTTTCTGTACTTAAGGTAAAAACATTAAATCTTTGCAATAAGCAAATCTTCAGTCATCAAACACCCTCATTTTAATAGACAAATGTCTGACAGAACCAGATTCAAAACAGACAGAAGGAGCTTCTAAGAATATTAAAGAAAGTAAGAAACACAAACACCAAGAAAATTTCAAGAGCTCAGAGCATCAATCCCAAAAATTGGAAGAAAYGCAACACATTACCCCATCGTTAACATAAGGAATCATTTATCATGACACTTGAATGGCTGCAACATTACAAATCTGCTAATGTGGTATTAGTTTAACCAATTTAGATAACAAATTAGAATGAAAGGGTGTCTAGCATGTCAAATTGCTACCGTTATCCATGGCAAGGCAGAGAAATAGCTGTGAAAAATGCTCTTTCAGCATCAGAAAAGGCAAGGTTACACATGATACAAAGAAGCCTCATTGAATACAAGGCTGGAGAGCACTCTGCCACACAAGTAGGAAGACACATTTACAAATGTAGAATTACTGATCTTCAAATACTATCTTGTCCAATGACTTATTATATCTTTTTGCACCTCTCTGGGACACAGAACATGTAATCTGGGAGTAGTGACAGTTCTTGGCAGAGCTGACACACGCCCACTGCCGACTGGAAAGCTGGAAGCACCTTACATCCAGAGCAATGGGGCATTTTGTGTCCCAGTGCAATCTTGCACCTAAAATGGCAAAATGTGAAAATTTAATATTTCCAAGTCAATTCTCTTGTTTCGTTTGTTTCTTCTAAAGTGCTTCCTCCCATTCTGCTGTTCATTTCCAAGATTCTTGTGCCCCTGCCGTAACAGRAAAGGCAGCCAAGGGAAGCAATTCTCTCAGCAAGGACCAAAAGAGGAGTTTTATTCCCATTCTTTATAAATAGTGGCATGTGAGAAAGAATAGTACAAATCAAAATGCAGATATGGGAATATGTATTTGAGCAAACACAGGCACCAAAGTGAGGAAGATTTTGTTTTCCTCTTTTCTCTTTAATCCCTTTCAAAATTTATTGAATGTAATTAAGTAAAGTCAAGTCGGTGGAAGGTTTTAAAAGGAAGGGACAGTTCCCACCTTCAGAAGTGATTGAGCATGTTGAATAGAATTAAAAAAACTTAGGTAATTTCTCAGGTTTTGAGCAGAAACAAATGCCTGTGGTTAAAGCAGATTGCCTTGCTAGGGTACAATATCCAATTCAAAAGTCAGAAAAAAACCTCAAGTGCACRTATGTTTGGATTCATATTCATATTAAATAATTCCAACTGGTTTCTTCAGTKGAAATAATAATAGGTTAAAATGGTAAAGAAAAAGAAGAAACACTGCTTGTCCAAGCAGATACAAAGATTAGACATATTAAGTCTGRAATCTACAAACAAAAAATAGAATCCTTTCCAGAAGATATAGCAAATTCTTTAACATACATAGAGGCAGGTATCAGAGGTAAGACTACATCAGTTACATTCACTGTTAATTTCAAAGCATGAATGCAGTGATTTTCCCTCTGCTCATTACAACTGCATTATTTATTTAATTAGTATTAAAATACAAGCTATCTATAAAAAATTCAGTTCCATAGCATGTGTCTACACTTCAACCTGCTGCCCAGTGTAAATATGAGCCAGCTTGCCTGCCAAGAACAGAATGTCTACTTCAGCCAAGAGCAGGGAAATAAGCTCTGCTGATAAGGATAGGCACTTTCCAGTCTCCAACCTGGCTTGCTTATAACAACTGTAGATTTTACTRTATCACACTGCTGCTGGCAGTATTGACATACCCTCATTTTAACAACTCTGCAGACAGCAAGAAGCCATCAGCAAACACACCGTGGGTCTCAAATCCAGCTTGAGAGCTGTGAGCTGTAGTGAATAGCAGTCTCTGTGAGATCACCATGGTTCTGAACCAGTATATACAGCCCCTGTGATTAATATTCATGCTACATATCCCAGAATAAATAGGAGATGCCAGTCTGATTCAAAGCCCTCTGAAATTGATGGAAACCTTTCCATTGACTGCCATGGGCTCGGGTCAAGCCCCAAGCGTCCAAGTGTGTTTATACCTTTTAAAAAAGAAGGAATTCACTCTCCACATCTTTCAGTCCCTCACATTTATTGTCAGCAAACCTCTGGCAAAAAAATGCCTTTCTCTGCAACGAGACTTTCACTGAAGCCAGTAGGAGCTATAGATACAGAGACTGAGAACATAATCTCAATGTAAAACCAACAGCGTACTGGAAAGAATCTTGATTTTGAAACCACACACAATAAAATTCAGTGATAAAGTGAATTTTTCTTTGTAAGAAGCATAAAATAACTCAAGATTTTGTATACCTGCAGGTTAAGAAGAAAATTTTCAGTGAGGCACATTGAACCTTCATAATATAATGATAAAAAAGCCCATTCCTATAAATCTAATACCATTATAACCATCTTCCTTAAACACTGTAATTATATCCTCCAAGTGTAAGTACCCAAATGTTAATTAAATATGGCCATCTAAATTATTATATGCAAAGTTTTTTTTTACTTATTAAAGGAATTTAATACTACTCATAGGTGTCTTTGTTAAATGCAGATTGACAATCAAGTTAAAGAATAAAACCTCATTTATTTTTATGCTACTTTATAAATTTTCTGAAGCCCAAGCCCTCTCACARTAGCGTACAGTAATTGGATTAAAACTACCTTCAAATACTTTCCATCACATCTTTCACATGAAACACCTTGAAAAGCCCACAATGTCTAAATAATAATTTTACAGTGATTATCAAAAAAAATACTATGGAAATAAAAAAAAAGTGGATTGATATGGATCCTCCTCCCCAAGCAATGAAATCCTAGCACCATACAAAATCTCACAATTTAAAATAAGAGTGCTGGCTCTCCTTCTCTCTCTTTCCTTTTAATAGCCAAACAAACTATCTTCCAAAGCATGACTGTTAATACAGATTGGTTTCGAGAGTAGTTTATAAAGGAAATTGTTTTCCTGCATTTTGATTCAAGAAGAAAAACATTAAGTAAAAAAATGACAAAGGAAACAGATATGGGAAATAAATCCTCAGGTCAATTAACAGTGAGTCCCCACAGAGGCAAAAGTGGACATTTCACGRCGGATGGTACTGAAAGGGGAGAGCTCCAGTTCTGTGGTGTACTCGTTGTCATTGTCATCACTCGTCACTGTGGAAGACTTCTGGATGCATTCATCACAGCAGCAACAGCAACACTCCATAAAGGCCCGGCTGAAAGGTTTACAGAGACAGAACAGGAGAACTGGGGTAACACAGGAYTTAAAGAACAAAAGGAACTGACTAATGAGATGGAGGAGGTCCATAGTCTGTCGAGAGACTCCTGTGGACATGTAGGCAGTTACAATGTTGCAAATATTTTCAGGAATGATGCAAAATCCATATAAAATGGTCAAAGCCACCACTGTGCAGTTCATCTGACTTTCCAGCTGAATCTGTCGCTTGTTCCCCCTCGTGCAGGCTTTTTCTGCCCTCCTGATTTTCCTCGCTGTCACCAGGGAGCAGGTGATAGTGAACAGGGTGGGCAAACAGAAGTAGCAGCCAAAGTACCACCAGAGGCGCGCCCCGTCGTAGGTGAGCGCCAGCACGTAGATGGTGTCGGGCAGCGCCGTGGAGATTTTCACCACGCAGCGCTCGCCCGGGGGGCTCCCGCTGTACTCGGGGTCCTCCCTGGTCAGCTGGCGCAGCACCACCTCCGGCAGGGCCAGCAGCAGGGCGCCCACCCAGATGACAGCCAGCTTGGCCGTGGTCGAGGTGCAGTTTTCGATCATCTCGTAGTACATCTGCACGTTGGTGGCGGCGCGAAAGCGATCGATGCAGAGAGCGCACAGCGTGAACGTGGTGACTCCCAGAGAGGCCACCTGAGAAAGAGCAAAGGCAACACAGGTTAATACAGGTGCTGTAGGGGCAGGGAAAGAAATGTAGGGGAGAATAGGGAAACAAAAATGAGAAAAAAAGTSGGGTGAAAAAGAGAAGCAGTTAAGCACCATGGTGCTAAGCACCATCAAGCGTTTGCTGAGTTATCATCCAACATCCATTCCAAAAAGAGTACATGCCTCAATTTTTTTGCCTACAAATTCTTATTCCAGCTTGGTGGCAACCTGTCCTGAAGATTCAAGCAAGTATCCGTACAACACTGAGTGGAAAAAAAAATATAGAGGAATTGACCAAAATTTATAACTAAACTGCTTCCGAACCCTCTTTTTTTCTAAGGGGTGTTTTCCAGAAAGACTGGCTCCACCACAAGGGTTGGAATTTTATGTCAAAAGGGCAGATATAGGAGAGTCTTCTTTCAGCAGAGGTACAAACTTATGATCACATCACAAGTTCATCATACATGCRATGGATAAAAAAATTAAACCTTTTATATCTATAAAACTTAGAAYTCCTGGGGATCAGGTATCTACTGAATTGAACAGGATCCAGCAACTATTATTGTAAACTTGAACTTTAAGTGTAATTTTGATGGGATGTAGGCACATAAAGCCATCCTGTACCATGACTTCAAAGAAATTGTCTTTGAAATCCTAAGACTTGCAGAGTCTGTGCAAAACTAAACTTCACTATAACAGTTAGGGTCTATATAATCTATATAATAGAGTCAGTATTTAATTTAGAAAAAAATCCAAGGAAAATCCAGGCTTAATTTCACAGGRAACACCCTGTGGAAGAGTGTACTATAGATCAGGAGAAATTGAAGAGATTTCATTCTTTAAATGATTTAAAGATGAATTGGACAGAGCTGTCAATTATATACTGTGAGGAACAAGTACAGAACAATGCTTATGTTCTCAAGATTTAATAATCATTATTCTGTGCATGAACAGAAATCTTGTGCTGTCATGAAACATCATTTCCTATCATTTTATCCTGTTTATAATTAAATTTTCTAAATCAGAAATTTGCAAGAAGAGTATATACATTTTGGCCTAATTCTATTAACAATAAATTCAACTTCAGGTCAAATTTAAAGCAGAACACCCATTAACTTCAATTAGAGAGAGATTAAGTGTCCTGCTGAATTTTAATTCACTTTTTTCCTTGGGTTTGCACACTTGTGTTATGCTGAAAATGTGTTGATGCAGAAGAAAAAAACAGTTAAATAATATTCCCAATAAATGTAAGGAATGCTTACTTTTATCATGAATGAATCCTACCTACGCAATTAACTGGGAAATCTAAAGTAATGAAGCAGTTCACTATAATTTTGCTTACCAGAATTTGATGTGCAATGCTATATTTAAATTTCATATAGGCAGATTTTAAGAAACACTTTCTGATTTCCACCATAATATTGAAGTATTACTGTTTATGCATCTCTGAAAAAAGTTCTATAAAGATAGATAGCACAATTATGCACAATTATATGAATGTATCATTAATTTTGGCCTTCAGTATTTAATGGCCATATCAGATTGCTAAAACTGACTATCACTGAAAAATATTAGRCACTTGGGATTAGAACTGTAAGATGTTGGCTTGGTTGGAGAATTCTTTAAAGCAGCTTCTTAAAAGATGGAATAAGTAAGATGCAATCTCTTACTAATTAACTTGCAGAAATATTGAATACTGACAAAGCAGTACTGTACACATTTTTAATAGGCAAACATTGATTTGGAAGTTAAATTGTCTGACAAGATTCAAAGAAAGCTGGTAAATAAAGCAAAAAAAATACAATCAAGTAAAGGAAAATGAAATGTAAAGAAAAATGGTTACAGGGAAATCTTAATGAACAGTGATAAACTTCACTAATGACATATGATTTTCCTGTATCTCAGCTGAGAGTCAGATTTTTTAATTCAAGATTAGCGACTTTGTTTCCAAAACACTTAGATGTATGTGCAGTCTTCAAATTTCTTAGTGACAGCAAAACCTTTCGCCTTAACATGCAACATGAATAACAAAAGGGTCAGGACTCAGCTTGCTACAATTAAAAGAGACAGGGAAATAACTGTGATTTGGAAATGAATAGGGATTGAAATAAAAATCAGCAGAACAGAAGAAAACAGAGTCTTTGTACATTAAGATTTTCCCTCTCAGCTCTTCCATGAGTCTCCCCCCACCCTGACGCACACATTTGCATTGCTTCAGCATTTCACTGCAAMCAGACTGTTACACAGCGGCTGAGACATGAAAACTCTGCAGCTGTTAGGGCTGGACTAATGAAAGAAGACATGTCTGCCATGAACAAACATAACCTACGGGGTTCCTGTCACATTAATTGACCAACAACTCGGAGGCTTAAAACAGTGAAATAGAGCAAGAGGAAACAACTAAGAATACTGGAAGGCAGCTTTGAAAACCCTCCTGTGGATTTACTGATGAAACGCGCTAAACAAAGCCGGTGTTTCCCTGGAACAGGCAACAGTTTCCTATTTTCTGTAGATTAGCGGAGTTAGTGATGCCGTGGAAAAGCTTGCAAAAACCAAACAAAAACACTCAAGCAGATGATCATGGATTCACTCCAGCTGACTTGCTTAAATGCAGTAGAGCAACTCAAGGGTCGGATTACTTACCCTACACTGCAGACTACGAATAACAGCCAGCAAAATGAATGGGTACTGCTTAAAACCTATGTGGGTGAGAACCGAGACATGCATTCTGCATGTTCACACAATTTCAGTTTAGGTGTGTCTCTTCATACTAGTCACACCAATAATTACAGTTAAGATGAAAGTGTGTAAAAAGTCAGAGAACTTTTCTTTYTTAGCGGTTTAGTGCTTTGGAATAATTACAGAATTAAGTTCATTAATTTGACAAGGAGAAGGTAAAGCACAGATTAACAGATCATAAAGTGGTGCAAGGCTGCGTGGAATTTAATGGTGCTCTTCTGGAAACAGCCGAGTGTCTGATACACTGTTGCCGTCTTCATTCCACCTGCCTGGCAGGAAATGAGGCAAGGTAAGGGTAATTTAGGCTCAGCAGTTTTTGATCATCACTTACTTATCTGGTTTATTTCCATATGGTGCCTCTGAAGGTTCTCCTGCAGTCTCTACACATTCAGGAAGACATCATTTTACAATTCTTTTACTACATGAAATCAGAAAACTCCCCAAATTTCCAGTGAATGACCATCAATCTGCTTTGAGGAAGTGGTGAAGRACCCCCTGCTTTGAGGAGATACCCAGACTATTTGGGCAGAGAACTGCTGTTGAAGGGAACACCAGCTACAGCACACATTCACACAGGAAGGCATTATTGTTCCAAAAGAGTCTCTTTAATACTGCTGCTCTTTAAAAAGCATTGTCAGGGATGTTACTGGGCACAGTGATGCCCCTTTGAGACACTGAATGAACCTTTGGTCATTAGCTCACCAGCTGTTTTAGTCAACTGTCTCAAAACTGATTTGGGCAACTGAGGCCACAGAGCAACAGCAAACTCATCAAATGCTCAGCACAATTGCATCAGTTCTCCTGTCCATCCTTCCAACATACTGGTTCTCCTTTCACAAACTTTAACAACCATCAAAATGTTCCCAGGCCTTTCCTGGCCTGCCCTACTTCTCCTGGCTGTGGTCCCACAGCTCTTGGCCCTGGTCTCCAGGAGCAGAGCCTCTGGCTGACCAGCAGAGCAGTGCAGATGTATCACTGTGAGTTATGGCTAAGGAAATAAACCTGAATTTTCTCCCACTAAATTTCTAGTCAAGAGTAATGAAAACCAGAAACAAAATCAGAAAAGGTGACCTGGGTAAAAAGACCAAATCAGGCAAGTGAATACAAAAGACAGGTTGGGTCACTCCACCCTGTAAGACAAAGAACAAGAAGTGATATTGCTACTATCTACCAAAAATCTATTTTAAGATAAAAAGTTACTTAAGCCAAAGGACCGTGAATGTAAAAGAAGGGAAATCAACCAGCTATGAGCAACTCTAGGCTGGAAATAAAGACGATTCTGATGGAGAAGTGAGCAGAAACAATGTAGACTAAGTTTATATTGAACAAGATAAAATAAAGATGTTATAAGAAGTGGATGCTTCTACCAGCTGAAGATGAATTTTTTACGACAGAATATATTCTATGTTGATATCACAGAGTTTCTTAAAACTACATGGCACTCTTCCTTTTTTACAAGGTAAGATGGATATTCAAAATATTTGCCCATTGTAATGGGAAAACTCAACTACAGAACAGGTTACCATATAGGCAAATTTAATTATTTTTTCTTTTTTGATAAAGAAACAAGTGTCATTCTCCACTGAGGATCAAATTTTCATGACAGTACAAAGGGACTTCTGCACTAATTCTTAATATTTACAACACAGAATTATTRCTAGAAATCTGCCTCTTCCTCCTTTTGCAGGAAAAATCCTGTCATATGGAGAAATGACATCCCAGTATTCAGAGCAGAGTCAATGATGCTGGGATCACAGATGCTGCCTTTTCCTCTCACACATACGTAACTTTAATACTAGTGACCCAAATTTAAACCCACTCTGACACAAATTCATTTTCATTCTGAAATGCCACATGCAAAGTTTAGCCAAAAGCAACAACCCAGAAGACCCTAAGGACAGGGTTTGCAGAGGAAAGAAAGACTGACAGAATAACCAATATGGCAGCTACTATCATGGTGCCATAAATACCTAAAGGGCAGGGATATAACAACACTTCTTTTTCAAATAATTATTTACTGTGTGAGAAGCACTGAAATATTCTGCTCAGTTAAAGACACACGTAGCCATTGCCCTAGAAAACTCTCATGATGAAGCTTTGAAACTGCAAACATCTCTGAGTGTCTTTGGCTGTGACCCAGAGKACTCACTGGAGGTTCAGGAGCACAGCTCTGACTAAAGTCAAAGAAGAGACATAAAGAAAACACCGCACATCAAAAGACACAGAAAAGACAGATAATACACAGCTTTTATAAACTCCTATTAAAAATGTATTTGCTTCCCTAATGTGAAACTCAAAATAGGGATCTCCTCTGAAAGCTTTGRAACAGGCAGAGAACAGCCACTTTCTCTGTGCTTCTAACTTACCTCTGTCAAGTAAAAGAGAAATGGGAAAAAAAMCTCACCTCAAATTGC